CACATTAACTATAAAACTCAATTGTGAAGGCACCTCATCTCAAAGGTCTAGTTTGAAGGCACTTTCATCCAAAATTCTTGCGTGAAAGCACCTAAACCTCAAAACTCAAGAGTGAAGACACCTCAACTTTAATATTCTAGTGTAAAGGTACTTTAACCTCAAAACTCTTGTGCGAAGCAACTTTAATCTTAAAACTCAAGTTTTAAGGTATCCTAACCTCAAAATTTAAATGTGAAGGCACCTCAACTTCAAAACTTAAGTTTAAAGGTCCCTTAACCTTAAAATCCGAATGTGAAGACACCTTGATAAAAAACTTAAGTGTAACGCATCTGAACTTCGGTTTTCTGGTGCAAAAGCACCTGAACCACAAGAACCATAGTTTGAAGTTACTTGAACATCATTAACTTCTTAAATCTGACAAAAATCAACCGTAAGGACCCTTGTCAGCCTCATCCAAAGCCTCCAATTTTTCATCCAATTTTTTGCCTCTTCTAATTGATCCTATTGTCTTTTTTTGTCGATGAAATCGAATTATTTCTTCCTCAATTGTTCTTCTTTAGATTCTTTGTAATTTCTCTTCTCGATTCTTCATACTTGGACATAATTTATGTGAAACTTTTTTTTATATACAGAACCTTCATGTTTAAATGAAAAATACATCAATTGTTGGTAAACATCCCACATCGAAATATGAGTGTGTGTTATTGAACACATATGAATGCACATTCACGCACACATCCAAATATTTCATAAGCCTTCAAAGTCTCGTAAAAGACAAACTTGAAGAAAAGAAAAATATTTTTTTTGAAGAGTCTTTAAAGCTTTTTTTATGTTTTTGTTTTTCCAGGGAAATTGATAATGAGATTTTGTGGAAGCTTCGGATCCTAAGGGGTTGTTAGATTGTTTTTTGAAGTTAAGAGCGATTCTGATGCGTGAAATTGTGTGAAATATGTAAGACAATTGAGGATTTAGAGGAGGAATGAGGGCGATTTATAGAAAGTGTTGAACTTTTTTGAGAATTTTTATATTAGTGAAGTTGAATGGATAAGTTGAGGTCGACTTTGTAATGGATTGGTAACTATATTTAAAATGATTTGAAATAAGCTTTAAACCACTTCGAGTGCGAACCTAAACAATCCAACATAAGCATTCATAAATATGATAATTCACCACATTTTATACACTTTTCATCACCAAAACCAACAAAATCCACAAAACAACCCTCAAAACCAATCAAAACAAGCTCAATTAAATTCCAAGAATTATTACAAAAAAATTCATTAAATTCGACACATCAAAATTAATTTTCCAAGTTTTTCTTACTCGACTGACTTCACCTCATTCTTGTTTCAAGAAAAAGCTTGTCGGGTTAACGTGAGAGGTTAGAGATGACACCTGCGGTTATCTTTTGATACCTTGATACAAATTATTGTTGAGATTCAGGTGAATTTTTGATGAAAGAAATGAGATTGAGGAATGAAGAGTGGATTGAGGAAAAAAGGTTGATTTAAAGGTAAAATGTTTGAAATGGTTTGGATTTTTGCTGAGGTAAATTTTGGGTTTTTAATGGAATTAATGGAATTTTGGGTGCTGGTTCACTTTAACGTTTGACTTTTGACGTTTGAATATTTTGAATTTTTCGTTTTTTTTGAATTTTGAATTTTTTGAATTTTTTGATTTTTTTTTGAATTTTGAATTTTTTGAATTTTGAATTTTTTGAATTTTGAATTTTTTAGTTTATTGAATTTTTAAAGTTTTTCTGAATTTTTTGATTGTTTTTGAATTTTTTGAATTTTTTGATTTTTTTTGAATTTTGAATTTTTTGAATTTTTTGATTTTTTTTTTGAATTTTGAATTTTTTGAATTTTGAATTTTTTGAATTTTGAATTTTTTGAATTTTGAATTTTTTGAATTTTGAATTTTTTGAATTTTGAATTTTTTAATTTATTGAAATTTTATAATCTTTTTGAATTTTTTGAATTTTTTTGAATATAAATCTGAAAAAACAGCAATAAAAATATTAATATTTAAGTTCCTCGGACCTCTTGACTTTCCGGCATATGTGCATAAAAGTATCCAAAAGTTAATCCTCAAAATGTGACTGCATTTAATCCACAACTTCAGTTTAATCCTTCAAAATATTCAAATTTTTAATTCAGCTCCGTTTGACATTTTCATTTCACTTCCTTTAAATAAAATTTTTTCCTTCCTCCTTTTTTCACTTATTTTTCACCTCACATTTTTCCAAGAACTTTCCTTCATTTTCCACGACCAAAAAAAATTATTTTATTTGCAGCAAATATTTTGTCGGAATTGCTATGGAAATTTTCTTGTTTTATTTTTTTTTCAACTGCACGTACGGCTTTTTATGGCTATAAAAAAAAATTTCTTTCCGCACTCAAGGAAGTGAAAAACTTTTTTTTCTATTTTTCATAAATTTTCTCTTTAATTTTTTTTTCACATCAAAAAGCTGCCTTATTTTGAATCTTTAAACTTAATTTTTACGGCGTTAATTAAATATTTTGTTGACTAGAGAAAAAAGGAACTGAAAGTTTAAAGACATTCAGAACAGCAAACGACACCGAAAACGCCGAGTGATTAACTAAAAGGGAAATGAGAGAATTTTTTTATTTTTTGGTTGCAGCTTGTGAAGACTTTGGAGGGTTTCATGTTTGATTGTGTTGGTGATTTGAGAGACTTTTTGATTTTTATGAGAATTTAAGTTGAATTGAGAGAGAATTTTTGAATTTTGAGAGAGCAATTTTATGTGCAATTAAGAAAATGAATGGAAACTAGGGATAAAGTTGGATTTAGGGGAACGCAAAACTGTTTAATTTTGATAGGTTTTGTGAATTTTATCTTTATAAGGTTCCCTTTACCTAATTAAAATATAGGTTGACTACTGAAGCCCAAACCTAACCTGAAGATAAAGTTGCATTAGGAAGCTCAAAGAGGTCTAAAACTCGTTCATAGAGCAAAGCCAAGTCAATTGTAGTCGACTTTAGATGACTAAGCCATCCAAAAGTCTTTCTAATCTTTCTTTGTTGCTCTAGGATATTGTCTCTCTAACTTTTCAAGCCACGGAGCAGTTAATCATCCTTCCATGTGTTTTTACCATGCTGGCAATCATTATTGACACATTGCGTAGCATAGTTTGAGAAACACTGCTTTAAGGTTTAATCTCGTTGCTTATAGCAATGATAATTAATGAGCCTTTCGGATGGATCCAACAGAGCAGTTGTGTTCAACCTTTATTGTGTCACGGTACACTTTGGTGATAATCTGTGACCGAAGAAACTGTACGAAGCATATAGTTCGTGGATTTTTCTTATTTTTATTCGGGGATCACTAGAGTGTCGTGACACATAGGTTCTCCATAACTGAGTTAGAGTAACTATTCAAATAAGTTAAAACAGCCACAAACACCAGATTTCACCCTAAACATTCAAAAAACTCTCTTTGCCTTAAAACTTCTCAATTTCACAATCATCTGTCTTTTTCTCTCTCAAATTCAGTCTTTCTGCCCTTTAAATTCTCCTCTCTCACATTTCTATCAAAAACATTCTGACTCAGCCTTTTAAACTTGTCTTTTCATCCTCTCCTCACAATCTTCCTCCCTTGTTATTTTTCTATTCACTTCTCCCTCGATTTTTATTATTTGTTTCGCATTATTTTCAATCCCTTTTATTTTTGCTTCTTTCCGTTGCTTGCTTGCTTGTACATTTGATATGTTCATTGCGCATACATACATAGAAATGTGAACATTATGTGAATGAAATTAATGCAAAGTGTTTTGAATGTGCAGCGGGCATAGAAGAAAGTTGACTGACTACTTATTTGTGTATAAATCGGCTCATACATCGCGAGCTAATGTTTGATATGTTTAACGATAATATTTGAATTATGAATGAATTTTTATTTTATTTTGAAAATTTTTTTAAGGTAATTTTGAGACATAACCTCAAAATTTTGTAAGATAATCTCTAAAATTGAACACATTTGCGATAACACGATCAAAAACTGAGCATAATTTACATAAAAACCTAAAAAGATTTGAGAACTTAAAACATAACCTCAACAACTTTTTAGAACAACTTGTAAATCAAAATGCAAAATTTTTTCATAAACTTAAAATAATCGCAAATTAGAATCAAAACTAAGGGTGAAAAACTGATGATTGTATTACTTTCGCACTCTTGAACATAACCCCAAACACTAGCTTCTTGATCTAACCTCAAAATTAAGCAAAATAAATCTCAAATTGCGACAATTTTATTCAAAACTAGATTTTATTAATCAAACGTTCACAAATTAGTTGACAAACATATTCAATGCACTATAATTTAAAAGTTCTCAATTTAAAGTTGAATTACACACTCTCTAAAATAATGTCAAAAATGAACCCTTAAATATGACATATTTGTTGTCATCCTGTATTTGTTATCGTCCAGTATTTGTTGTCATCCTGTAGTTTTTTTGCAGTCCTGTATTTTTTGTCATCCTGTACTTTAGTCACCGTGAATTCTAGTCAGTCTAAACACAAATTACACTTTAATGTGATTTTACTTTAAAGATTGTTTTTGGTCACTCTGTACACAAATATTTCAGTGTTGCATTTTGGAGTCATTTTATGTTTTTGATCACCTTGTATCATTATTTTGTGCGACTCCTTAGAATTATTCATAATGATAAGTCAGTAATTCAAATGGTTTAGTGCAACATCTATTTTGAACAAAGGACCTTAAGGGCTGTTCACTTATTACGTAACGCGAAAAAATGACTTTTTAGACCCCCCCCCCCCCCTCGTAACAAAATTTGTATGAAAAAAAAAATTCCTTGTTTGAACCGTAACAAAATCTTAGACCCCCCTTCCCAACTAAAAGCGTTACGTAATAAGTGAATGGCCCCTTAGCCTATTCGACTATTAATACTAGAACCACAAAATGTGTGCAAGTAGAATTGATCATCAAGTCTAAACATTCGGCAAAACTTCAACCATTTTACAATTCCATCATTTCAGTTGTATATGAAATATTCGAAAACATCGATGTCACATTTTTATTCGAAACAGAAACGTCCGTATCGAATTGAATTAAAATGACAATGTACGTAGCTGTTGCTCCAATAATCTGATCAATAAATAAAAAATTAATTCAACAATTAATGAAAAAAATTATTAAATTACCGTAAATAACAATGTAAAGTCGAAAGTAAACAAGCCACAGGTCACAACTGGTGCTCGATGTTGCATTTGTTGTGAAAACATTTTCAGCTGCCAAATAAAAAACTTTAGTCATGCTTAACGGGTTATTTTTCTAGTACTTACAACATCAATAATCGGATCATCATCGTCATCAATGTAATTGACAGCTTTATGGACCATGACAGCTGTATACTTCCCAGTTCTAGTCACTAAACTTCCAAGCATCACAATTATGAATCCATAAACTAAAAAGTACAAGTTCCAAACATACTGAATCACAGCTGCTTCCCATTGCGAGTAGTCATAGCGCACAAAGACTCGATAAATTGCAAAAATACTAAAAATGTCTGTCAAAAACATTCCAGCAACGACATGCATCAGTGTGAATGAGAAGCAGTAGTTGAAGCTACCAACTATATCAACTAGACTGTCATGCAAGTCAGCAAGCTTTGCAACAATTTTACATAAAACTTTGGATTGTTTTTCTTTTCTAGGCTCGTCTTCCTCTTCAGTGACAAAGAACTTCTTGATTGAGTCATTGATGAGACGAAATCGGATGAAAATTGAGTAAAGCAGGAATGCTGAAGTGAGTAAAGTGACTGTCATGGATGCATTGATAGTCATGTAAGATAAAATTAGGTATGGAGCACGTTTTGGGTCTATTAGTTTCCATAAGAAGTAGCCTGAAATGTAGAATTTGAGATGAACGCTTCTAATTATAGAACTTGGTGCTGCGTTGTAAGTCCAAAGATTATAAGCCCAGATGTCATTGTCAATTAAAGACATTTAACGCTGAATAGTTTAAAGATTAGAATTAAGCTTTTCAATTTTTGGAACACTATTAAGTATTCAGCGTTTAATGCCCCAAAAGCTTAAAAAACTTAATTCTAGTCTATAAAGTATTCAGCGTTCAATGCCCCAAAAGCTTGAAAACTTAATTCTAGTCCACAAAGTATCCAGCGTTCAATGCCCCAAAAGCTAGAAAACTTAATTCTGGTCCATAAAGTATCCAGCGTTCAATGCCCCAAAAGCTAGAAAACTTAATTCTAGTCTATAAAGTATTCAGCGTTCAATGCCCCAAAAAAATAAAGTTGTCGATTAACCAAGTTTATTTAAGCTAATTACGAGATTAAACACAATATGGACTAGATTAATCGAAAGCCGGACTAGATTAAAGAGAGCATGGACTAAATTAGTCGTAATATGGACTAGATTGACCAAAATATGGACTAGATTGACCAAAATATGGACTAGATTGACCAAAATATGGACTAGACTAAGGACTTTATGGACTAGATTAATAAAAATTTGGTGTAGATTATCCAAAATTTTACCTGTAACTCCAGCCATCAAAAAGAAGAGCAATAAACAAAGTCCAATAATGATCAACAAATTTTTCTGCTGCTTCTTGTGATCAGTAAACATTGTCAATGTCTTGAGTTCCTCATCCAGCTTATGACATCTATAAAATATACCCCAAACGTCATATCTTTTAAGCATCATAATTACTGCGGTTGTAAAAACATTTCCAATTTCATAAATTAAAACCATTCGACTGCCCAAGTTAATTACTCCAGATGTGGTCGATATGATTGTCAAGTCTTGACTATAATTCAAGTAAACGATGTACAAAACTATCGAATTACTAATAATTGCTGCTAAAATATCAAATATCTCCAATTTTATTTTTCCATTTTCGATTTTTCCATCGACTGAAAAGTGAGCCAATCCAAAGAATTTCCATCCAACATGGAATCTCTTGACAGTATCCCAAATCGTGTACGGATCTTCAAATGCTCTTTTTGGTTCCACTGACATTTTTTTGAAGTTTGACTTGCTGCTGTCGCTGCTGAAAATGAAATGAATATGGACATAATATCGATAATTAAAATTTTTTTGTTAACTGTCAATTAATTAATTGAAATGTGGTTATTAAAAATTTATAATTAATTTGATGTTTTGATGTAATTAGAATTAATGTTGAGATTACTCCTCAATCTAATGGTGAAGCAAAGGATGTGTCTGGGGGAGGGGAGGGGGAAGGGGAGTTCGGGTGACGACTCCCCCTTCGCCAGCACTTATTTCTTGGATTTTAGGCAAAAAGTTGTTCACCCAAGCAGAAAAGTGCGCAATTCGACATCCTTTTAATGTGATCATCGTCTAAGCATGGTTTTGATGATTAATCCAATCATAAGTCATCATTTCTCACCGTCTTTGCTCTTTAGGGATCGTTCACTTATGACGTCCGAGAATAACGGTCATTTTTCAAAAGAGAACAATGGATTTCCTGGAATTTCTATTGTTCTTTTCTTGTTGACACCGCCCCCCCCCCTTCCATCCCCCTGGACGTCATAAGTGAACGGCCCCTTAATGTTTATTAAAATAATGTCAAATGCAAACAAATTTCTAGAAATTAAAATAATTTGATGCCATCTCTAGATAAAAATGTTTTAATTACAGCTTTAAGCTTTACAGGACTTTAAAGTAAATAAAAATGTATTTGCCACAACTCAACAAAGAGAACCTTAAAACATTTTTTTTTGAAAAATGCAAAAAATCAACGAAAAACTCTCATTTTTGGTTAATTTATTCAAATTTTTCGGACTTAACCTTGAGAACTTTAAGGAACCAAAGTCAAAATATCTCAAATATTTAAAATATTGGCCATTTGGAATCTGTTTCGTTTACACTTGCATTGTCATAGCAGCAACAACCAAAATGATTAAAGAATTCTTTTGTGATGGCGATTATAACATTCGTTCAGACTATGCAGGCATCATAATGATTTTAAGCCTTCACTCGCGTGGAATTGTTGATTTGCTGTTTACACTGAATCAGAGAAGAACTGAAAGAAAGTTCTGGAACTTAGTAGATCAACTTGATGACATGTTGGAGAAGATTTTGGATATTAAAATAAATTACAGAAAGGAGAATCGTTCTCATCTTCAAAGGGTGTTGCTGATCTTGCTATTAAACTGCTGTGTTGGTGTCTTTGTGTCCACTATTAATTATAAATCAACTGATAAATTTAATGGATCTTATGGCTCTGCATCATATCTGGTTTTAACTAATCAACTGAATAATAACAAGTTCATATTTTATGTCGCAATTATCTGCAATCGGTTGAAGCTATTGCCCCAACATTTACATATAATCAGACTACGTATCCACAAGCTAAAGGCTTTGCCTCATATTTACTCGATTATATGGAACCTATCTAGAATCATTGAGAAGAGATTTGCAATCCCATTGATATTTATGAGACTTCATATTTACATGCTTGTCATGTTCTATGGATTTATACTTGCACAAGATACAGCACTAGGATATTTTAATACGGTTCATATTGTATCAATAGTTGCACCTCAAATTATCATGTGGTGGTTATGCTACTACTGTAAAAGGGCCTATACGATTGTAAGTTGTATGTTGGATTTTTGAAAACTGTGCTTTAAATAAGAGCTGAGCTAGAGCTGAGCAAGAGCTGAGCTAGAGCTGAGCTTGAACTGAGTTTGAACTGAGCTTGAACTGAGCTAGAGCTGAGTTTGAACTGAGTTTGAACTGAGCTTGAGTTGAGCTTGAGCTGAGCTTGAGCTGAGCTTGAGCTGAGCTTGAGCTGAGCTTGAGCTGAGCTTGAGCTGAGCTTGAGCTGAGCTTGAGCTGAGCTTGAGCTGAGCTAGAGCTGAGCTAGAGCTGAGCTTGAGCTGAGCTTTAGCTGAGCTTGAGTTGAGCTTGAGCTGAGCTTGAGCTTGAGCTGAACTTAACTTAGAACTTCAGTTCAGCGTCAGTTAAGCTCTATATAATCCTAAACTAAATGTATTTATTTTTTTTTTAGGAAAAGATGTTCATCTCAGCTCTTAATAGAGAAAGTCATCACAAAAACGATACGAATCCATTTTGTGAGGATATTATGCTTCAAATTTATCACCAAACTGTTATATTTTCTCCTAAACGAATGTTTGAGTTTGATTACAACTTGATTGTTAATGCCGCAATATTCAGCGTTTACTTTACTTTTATTTTTATTCAATTCTATTTTTACTCCTAAATAGGACAATTTCTGCCTGCAGCAATTAATATTTCACAAACATGTTATTAAAAAAGTCATTAAATGTCTTTAAAAACGAGAAAAGTGTCCCAAAAGCTGAAATTTTGCACAAGTTTCCTAAAACTTTTTAGAATGTATCATGAAAAATTGGAGCACATAACCTCAAAATTTCAAAAAATTATAGATTTTTGGCCTAAAATACTGCTTATCATCCATACAATTGTAATAATAACTCTATACATCAACATGCTGCAACAAATTAAGCGTTTCAATTTTGAATCATCGGATTAAATTTCTAAGTTCAGACTTCAACTGGAACCGAGATTTTGTCCTTGGACTTTATGCAATGCCGAGAATTTTGGCACTTTTGTGGAAATTTTCAACTCAAATCAATAAAATATTCGAATTTCAAATGACTTTGCTGACTTTAAATTACTTTTTGGTGCTTGGATTTTTTGGGCATCTTTTGGCCACTGACATAGTGGATGGAACTGGAAATTGGAACCATGTTTTGTCATTTGTTGCTCCATCTATTGCATTCTTTGCTGTTTCCTTAATTTGTGGACAAGTCATGATGAATGTAAGTTTAAAATTATGGAAACCTTTTTTAAAAAAATTGTCAAATTCTTAAAACTTTTCAGCTCGTCAAGTTGATTTTTCGATTATCAAAGTTATGCAAACCAAAACAATCTCTTAGAGGCACATTCGAATTGCTATTACTTCAAGTTTAACATCAGAAAATCAAATTTAAGCCATTAAAAGCATTTTCATTCAAATCAAGTTTAATCATCAAAATTGTATCATTTGCAGTCATGTATGCATTCGCTTTTATTGAGTTTCATGAATTTTAAGTGTCTAATACAGTGATGGCGAACCTGTGTGTCTCGGCACAATAGTGTACCCTTTAAGTTTTGGGATACTTGACGAACCGTATGTTGTGCGGTTTCAGTCATGGCTTACCACTATGTGCCGTAGCACATAAAAGTTTACTCACAATAAAATAACAAGTAATAAAATTTACATTTAAGTGAGTCAAAAGCGCATTTGATCAGTATTTTGCTAAGTTTACAGACCGCTAAGCCATCAACCATTCATGCATTAAAAGACATAAGCTATCACTATTGACAAACTAGAACAGCAAAGCTCCGCAGAGCATAGTTTGAGAACAGTGTTGCAAATGTAGATGTCTACACTAGATGAAGAATGTAGATTCTTCAATAGTTTTTGTCTGAGACAGAAATTTCTTCATAAAGATCGATTCTACATGAAGATAGAAAATCTAATCTACACAAAGATTATTTCTACATAAAGATTCTGTCTACATAAAGATTCGATGTAGATGTCTACAATTCTACATTTTTTCCAGGTCTACATCAGAGAAGAATGTAGAATTGTAGACATCTGCATCGAATCTTTATGTAGACAAATCTTTATGTAGAAATAATCTTTGTGTAGATTAGATTTTCTATCTTCATATAGAATCGATCTTTATGAAGAAATTTCTGTCTCATATTAATTTTTCACAAACTTGTTGACTAGATTTATAAGATTGACTAGATTTGAACTGTCACAAAATTTAAGAATCCCTTCCCGAAGAAAAGCGTTACATTAAAAGTGGCCCCTATGATTTTGTGGCTCAATAGCAGGGGGAGTTGAGAAAGGGACTCATTTTTGGATCCCAGACTAGCTGGATTCTTTGATGGCCCTGGTTGAAACAATCGATAAATTGCGAATCACTTAAAAATAAAATTTTTACAAAGTCCAATTCACTTTAGTTACATGTTATCGCAAATAGCTCGATAATCTGATTCAATGTTTGAACTACATTGCTTTTATTTCTATAGAAAGCTCATAAAAAGCAATCATTTTCCAGTGAAAATGCAAAAAGTAAAGGCAAAACTTTATTTTATGGTGAATTTATATAAATTTTGTGGATTATTCCTGGAACATTTTAACGAACCAAAGTCACGTCATTTAAAGTTCCTTAAGTTTTGGCCTTTTTGTGTTGCATTTGCTCATATTTTAATTATTGTGGCTTTAACTGTGAAGCTCATAAAGATTTCTATTTTTGATGGTGACTTTAACCTACGTTTTGACTATGCTGGCATTTTATTGATCATAAGTCAGCAGTTAAGGAGTATTATTGACATAACCTACACTTTTTTGTGACGCAAGAATATAGAAAAATTCTGGAAAACGCTGGATCAATTTGATGACTTTATCGTCAAGTTTTTGGGTATCAAAATCAATTACCGAAGGGAAAATTGGCTACATTTGAGGAGGCTAATCTTCATCGTTTTGATGAATATAACTTTTGGTGTCCTATTTTTAGTGCTCAAATCTAAGGATTCAAAAAAATTCGACAAATATTATGGCACATCGTCTCTTCTGGTTATTATTAATCAATTGAATCTCAACAAGTTCATCTTTCTCATCTCAATTATCAACAATCGAATTAAGCATTTGACTGAGAATCATAGAACAATCCAGATTTACGATTATAAATGTAAAGTCAATTTACAATTCCACTGATTTTTATGACATTTCATATTTTTGTAACGATTGTATTCTTGGGATATGTTCTTGTGCAGAACATAGAAAACAAAACATTTAATACAGCTCATTTTGTTTCAATCATAGCACCGCAAATCAATTTATGGTTTTTATGCTTTAACTGCTATAGGATAACCCGCATTGTAAGTTCTGAAGCTGAAATGTAGATGAGCTAGAGCTGAGCTAGAGCTGAGCTAGAGTTGAGCTAGAGCTGAGCTAGAGCTGAGCTAGAGCTGAGCTAGAGCTGAGCTAGAGCTGAGCAAGATCTGAGCTAGAGCTGAGCTAGAGCTGAGCTAGAGCTGAGCTAGAGCTGAGCTAGAGCTTAGCTAGAGCTGAGCTAGAGCTGAGCTAGAGCTGAGCTAGAGCTGAGCTAGAGCTGAGCTTGATCTGAGCTAGAGCTGAGCTAGAGCTGAGCTAGAGCTGAGCTAGAGCTGAGCTGTAGCTATAATGTAACTCCTTTTTAAATCTTTTAATCCTCAGGAGAAGCAGTTAATCTCAACAATAACCAAAACTACCATCAAAACAGATGACAACACACAATCATTCAATGAAGAGCTTTTACTTCAACTTCTGCATCAGAAGATTAACATTTGCCCTAAAAATATGTACGAATTGGATTATACATTAATTAAGAGTGCTGCAGTATTTTGTGTCAATTTTGTTTTCATTTTTATTCAATTTTATGTTTATTGTTAAGTCTTCAATGTATTGATTGTAGATTGTTTAATAAAATTAACTATGAATGTAAAAATATTCCTCCATTTCATTAACCCAATCATAGAATTTCAAGATATTTGTAAAAAGTGAACGGTTCCAATTTTTACAACAACTCCACTTCCAATGTCTCCTTGACATACAGCTGGATATCGATGCAAGAGTTGGATTAGTTAAAAAGCTTTTGGAATGTTTTCATGTGGTTTTGTCTCATCCTCACCTTGTTTATATCCAACCACGACTGATTTATTTATTTTTGCAATCTCAGAGTTTGGATCAATGAAGCAAATTGGCTAAGTTTGAGGGCTGAAAAGCTCAAATTTTGTGGCTGAATGAAAATTCAATAATTATTGCAAAGGTTGCAGTAATTTTCGATTTTGATTCCAGGCTTCAATTGGATAAGTTTTGGGGCTGAAAAGCTCAAATTTTGTGGCTGAATAAAAATTCAATAATTATTGCAAAGGTTGCAGTAATTTTCGATTTTGATTCCAGGCTTCAATTGGATAAGTTTTGAGGACTGAAAAGCTCAAATTTTGTGGCTGAATGAAAATTCAATAATTATTGCAAAGGTTGCAGTAATTTTCGATTTTGATTCCAGGCTTCAATTGGATAAGTTTTGGGGCTGAAAAGCTCAAATTTTGTGGCTGAATGAAAATTCAATAATTATTGCAAAGGTTGCAGTAATTTTCGATTTTGATTCCAGGCTTCAATTGGATAAGTTTTGGAGCTGAAAAGCTCAAATTTTGTGGCTGAATGAAAATTCAATAATTATTGCAAAGGTTGCAGTAATTTTCGATTTTGATTCCAGGCTTCAATTGGATAAGTTTTGGGGCTGAAAAGCTCAAATTTTGTGGCTGAATGAAAATTCAATAATTATTGCAAAGGTTGCAGTAATTTTCGATTTTGATTCCAGGCTTCAATTGGATAAGTTTTGGGGCTGAAAAGCTCAAATTTTGTGGCTGAATGAAAATTCAATAATTATTGCAAAGGTTGCAGTAATTTTCGATTTTGATTCCAGGCTTCAATTGGATAAGTTTTGGAGCTGAAAAGCTCAAATTTTGTGGCTGAATGAAAATTCAATAATTATTGCAAAGGTTGCAGTAATTTTCGATTTTGATTCCAGGCTTCAATTGGATAAGTTTTGGGGCTGAAAAGCTCAAATTTTGTGGCTGAATGAAAATTCAATAATTATTGCAAAGGTTGCAGTAATATTCGATTTAGATTCTTAATAGAAGCTCCGATGGGCTAGACATGTTATCAACAGACCTGAGGAAGCTCCACTTAGTAAGGTCTTTAATTCGGACTTTGTCGATTGAAAAAGAGATCTTCGAAGACCAAATAACTCATGAAAAGAGGTTGTTAATAGAGCGTATAGGAAATTTAAAAGCAATAGCCAGTTTAAGACACCATCTGAGGGAGGTCATGGATCACAATTGATCTGGACGGCCAGCGGAGCAAGTAAAGACAAAATGTTTAATTAACATTAAAAAAATATGTCTTAAATGAGAGAAGAGATGAGCTTATGACTTTAAAATTGCTCACTTTTCTCTTTAACTCGCTCATTTGATAGTGGTCAGTTTGAGATGATCAGATTGAGAGGCTGTAAACTTGATTTGCGTACACGTGTTAAGCAAAATGTTTTACATAAAAAAAGAAGAAATAAAAAAAACTTGATTTTGTTTAAAAAAAATATAATCGTTTTATTAATTTTGCCGCTTCTTTGAAGGGGTCATTTACTAATGATGTCCATGTATAGTTCTTTACTTGCTGACCCTTCCTCCTCCCCTGGACGTCATTTGTCATCATCAACATTACCACCAAGTTTAAGTATTTTTTCCTTCAATTTCTTAATCTCTTCTATTTGTTCTTGAACCACAGAATCTGATTTGTGATCGTTTCCGGTTTTAATCCAATTATCAAATTTTGTGACATCCGTAAAAACTGCATAATCATTCACATCACATTGAAGATATTCACCAAAAAGAGATGCTGAGACAATTCCTCGAAGATAAAAAGAACCATTGTGCTCCACAACTAATCCACTTCCACTGTCACCATTACAAACTCCAGTTCCGTTGGCATATCCACCACAAATTGTTCGATGACTAATTATTGGGTGAAATTGTACATGCTTTTGACAGTCTTTATAACTTAAGATGGGAACTTTAATAACATTCGCAATAAACTCAAATTTATGATTTTCACTCCGTCCAAAACCAGCAACAACTCCAGTTGCATCCAATGGAAATTCTGAATTAGTCTGAATCATACAAATTAGTTGAATATTATTTTTAAATGAAATATCTTCAGTAAGTTCTAGAACTGCAATATCAGCATCAAATGCATTCCAATCTGGATGAATATGAACAGTCTTCACACCAGCTATAACTTTACCAGCTTCAAACAGATCAAAAAGATTGTGAATACCAAATCCAACTCTAATTTCATGAGATTTAATTGGATACGATGAGTGCTTTTCCCAAATGCAGTGAGCAGCTTGAGAAAAAATTTATTTTTTGAGTTTCTGTGTTCCTTTTGCATTTTATGAATCTTACCTGTAATTACTTTTGAAGTGGATATGATCGTACCGCTACAAAAAAAGTCTCCATTTGGTCGATACAAAGCAGCTTTCCTAGAAATTTAATAACACAGAGTCGATGAAATTTTGTAAAGAGTCGACTTCGCCATACAGAATCGATGAAAATCTCAAGTCAGCTTCGAGCTCTGACATCGAGATATGAATCTGAATGGTACAAGTCGGTTAATCGATCAGAAATCTGGCACCAAGCCAGATTTGACTGGCTCTAAGAATGACTCTAAGTCAACAAACAGTTACTTAACGAGTCGAATATGCTGGAGCTTAACTCGAAGGTTGTCGGCTCAAATCCAGCAATTTCCAAATTTGTTCTTTTTCAGACGTTTAGACACTTTGACTGCTAAATGCACGAGATCAAGTTATAATTGGGCATTTGAGCAATGCTTTACTAAGGAATGAATCAGGAATTTGAAGTGTAGCGGGAGAAATAAGAACGAGAGCTATAAGATTACCTTTTTAATGAAATATTGTCAGAACGGAACTAAAACGTATCACGTCACGTCCACCGTACCACAGTGCCTGGATTTATTTAACAGTAAAATACCCCCCTCTTCCCCCTTCCCCTTCCTAAAAGCATTACATAACAAGTAAACAATCCCTAAGGTAACCCAGAACAAGTAAAAGCTTTCAAAATTTTACCATGGAAATGATCCACGTTGAATCTTGCTTCCACCAAACACCAGTTGTTGTCCGATTTTCATTTTACCGCAAGTATCCTAGATCAATTTAAGAAAAATGAAAGAAAATGCCTCAGAAGCGTTCTAAACATGCTCAGCAGAAAATTACCATGGCTATCGTTTTATGTTGTTGTCTTTCCGTTGCCATTGTTCTTCCTAAATTTGTAATTTCGATTGTTGGTGAAGGACTTAATGTTGTTAATATTGTAAGAAGTTTGGTTATTGCTGGATTCTCAGTTGTTGATGGCTCGTCAGTTTTTGTAGGTTTCCTAGTTGTTGCAATTGTTGAAGGCTTCTGAGTTGTCAAAGCTATCGTTGTCTTATCAAAAGCTATATTTGCCAAGCATATGTCCCAATCATTTATAAAACCATTCAGTCTTCCTTTCAAAGTCCTCAAAGTGTTCAAAAGCTTACTAAATGGATCTTTGTAGACACTATCTTGCAACTGTTGAGCTGAGACTAGAAATGAAGCTAAATTTGATGAAATTCTATCAATACATGCTTGATCTTGAATGGTTGTAGTTTTAACTTTATTTTGAAGTGCTGATAAGCTGGATAAAAGTGAAGTAACTTGAGGTTCGAGAGCATTTCTAGGATCAATAGTTGTGGTTGTTGGTTTTGATGTTGTAGATAAAGTTGTTGTTGTAGATGGCTTAGTTATGAATGCTTTTACTTCTTTGGTGATTTTTGTGGTCTGTTTAGTTGTTGTTGTTGTTGTGTGTTCTGATGTCATTGTTCTAGACTCAGTCGGAGTTGTTGTAGTTTTATTTGGAGTTGTTTTAGATTCTGTAGTTGTGCTAGTTGTTTTAGGCTTCTCAGTTGCGTTACTGGTTGTTGTAGGCTTCTCAACTGTTGTGCTGCTTGTTGTAGGCTTCTCAACTGTTGTGCTGCTTGTTGTAGGCTTCTCAACTGTTGTGCTGCTTGTTGTAGGCTTCTCAACTGTTGTGCTGCTTGCTGTAGGCTTCTCAACTGTTGTGCTGCTTGTTGTAGGCTTCTCAACTGTTGTGCTGCTTGTTGTAGGCTTCTCAACTGTTGTGCTGCTTGTTGTAGGCTTCTCAACTGTTGTGCTGCTTGTTGTAGGCTTCTCAACTGTTGTGCTGGTTGTTGTAGGCTTCTCAACTGTTGTGCTGGTTGTTGTAGGCTTTTCAACTGTTGTACTGGTTGTTGTAAGCTTCTCAACTGTTGTGCTGGTTGTTGTAGGTTTCTCAGCTGTTGTGCTGGTTGTTGTAGATGTCGTACTTGTAGTTCTAGACAAACATTCATTCCATTCTTTGCTAATGTCACTCAAATTACCCTCCAAAGTAGTCAAATCTTTAACATTCTTACTATAAGGTTCCTTGGAGATATTAGTTTCCAATTTCAGACCTGTAGCTAAGTAAGCTACTAAACTAGATGATATGCTGTCTTGACATGCCTCGTCTTGAACAGTTGCTGAACTTACAGCTGTTTGAAGTGCTGATAGGCTGTTTAAGAGATTCATTATTTTAGGTTCGAGTGCTTTTCTGGGATCTACAGTTGTTGTGGATGCTGAGGTTGTTGTTGTAGCTTTTGTAGTGGTTGAAGTAGTCGTTGGTTTTGTTGTTGTGGTTGTTGTAGTGGATTTAGTTGTTGGCTGGGTTGTTGTAGTGGATTTAGTTGTTGGCTGAGTTGTTGTGGGAGTTGGACTGGCTGTGAAAGTTGGAAAAGTCATTAAAGTCGTTGAGGTTCTCGGTTCTGTTGCTGTTGTCATCATTTCATAAAAAAAACTTAAAGATATTGAAAGCTTTTTTGACGTTTCCATTAAATTAGGTGTACAAAATCGATTTTGATAGTTTTCAAAGCATTTACTAAGTTTCAATTCCAGTTCGTGTTTCAATATTTCTTTATCCTGATTGCATAAATTTTCTTTCATTTCTATGACAAAAGCTGCATCTTCAATCAATTTTTTGTCAATCGCGTCTATCTTATTGCCCCATAAAGAAATGAGTTTCAATTTCTCGTGAGTTCCAAAAGAAATTGAGTGAATGTCAGTTAGCTGGTTCCTATACAACCATAACGTTTCTAATTCCGTCAATGGTTTAAAAATTCCAGGAGGTAATTCAGATATCTCATTCGAGTGGATTGCAAGTTCAATCAGGTAAGGATTATTTAAAAATAAATTTTCATTTAAATCTTTTAATTTATTTTCGCCGACGTTCAGAATTTTAAGGTTAAAGAGTGGATTAAAAATGTCATCTGAAAGTTCCTCAATTTTATTCTTTATCATGTACAACTGTTCCAAACTTTGCAGTCCACAAAAGCAGCTTGACGTTAATGTTGCAATTTGATTGCTGTTGAGACTCAGAGCCTTTAAACTTGTCAATGTGCTGAATACTTGAAATGGCAAATGAGCAATTTTGTTGTTCTCAAGGATGAGTTGTTCTAAATTATTAAGGCTGTTGAAGCTGTTGGTGCTTAAAGTCTGAATTTTATTTTGTTGGAGATTTAAAAGTTTCAAGTTGTTGAGTGGCTCAAAGATATTTTCGGGTATATCCAAAATCTGATTTGACTGAAGATTCAATGTCTCTAATTGTTGCATTCCCACGAAGCATAAAGGATGTAAAACTTCAACTTTATTGTCACTCAGTTCAATATTGATTAGCTTTTGTAAAGAGATAAAAACATTCGCTGAAAGTGCTGTTATTTCATTAAACTGAAGGTTTAGATCTTCAAGCTGTCGTAATCCAGTGAATGTTTCAGGATGTATGTCTGTAATTTTGTTCTGACTTAGGTCCAAAACATTTAAATTGACAAGAGTCGAGAATATTTTTGCAGGCAAGTCAAATATTGAATTTCTGTTAAGTTTAAGGACTTCAAGTCTACCCAACTTATTAAAAAGCTTTAATTTAAGGCTTAGAAGGTTATTAAAGTGCAAATCCAACACTCGAAGGTTTTTAAGTGGACTAAATAAGCCACCTGGAAGTTCATAAAGCCAATTCATTCCAAGATAAAGTCTCTCGATTTCCCGCTGCTTATCAAACAACATTTCTGGCAGTTCCGTCAATATATTGTCTTCTAAATTCAATATTTTCAGCTTAGCATCAAAGTTTAAAAAGTCAACAGACACATGATTGATATTATTCTCGGATATGTCCAAATATTCCAAGTTTCGGCATTCTTTGAGAAAATTTTGATTAAACTCTCGACTTTTTGACCAATTTGATTGCTTTTTGAAAGCAATTCCATTTAAATTCTTGAATTTTTGGCAAGTTTCTTCCAAACCTTGCTCGAAAATTGATTCTTCTGCTTCTTTGTACGTCGAAACTTTTGGGTATGCAACAATTTTTATGGAATCATCGTTTCTTTTTTCCAAATGTATCACATTTATTGACAATTCTTCACTAATGTCAAACACACGCAAATCACATGCATATCCAGAAATTATGACGTCATGAATTGTCATCAAACTTTCATCCGCTTGACATGTAAAGGAGCTAGCTGTAGCTTGATGATTTTGAATCAGAAAAATTAGATTGAAAATTAAACTTTTCAACAACATTTGATTCTTGTTGTTCTCGCAAGCAAGTTTAGAGTAAACTAAAATGCTAAAGATGAGCATCGTAAATGCAAAACTCTTCTAAAATTTCCTGTTTTTTTCATTTACGATTTTTTTT